ATAGAAAAAAATAGAAAGAAAAGAAAAAAAAATAGGAAACCAACCCACCTCACCTCACCTCACCTCACCTCAAAACCCCCAAAAACAGAGGACAACAACAACAACCCATCAAGCTGAAAACTCAAAAGCAGGCACCTAGGCAACCCATTTCGAGAATGTAAAGTAGCAAGTGGGTAATTGGAAACCAAAGCTATGTACATTTTATATTTATATTCATGGGATGCTATCTATTCATCTTACTGCTTTGACGATTCTCGCTTAGCGAGGGAGGAGGGAGGAGGGAGGAGGGGGAAAAAAAAAACATCGTTTTGTAAATTGTATGCTTTGAAAAAATGATGAAGGGAAGAAGAGGGGAAAAAGAAAGGAAGAGAAGGAGAAGAGAAGAAGAAAAAAGGGAGAAGAAAGGAAGAAGAAGAATAGTTAGAAAGAAGGAGGAAAAAGAAAAGAAAATCCCCCCCCCCCCTCTACCCCCTTCAATAAAGCCAATCCTCATCCCAGAGTCTGCGCCTTGACCATCTGCTCATAGATACCCCCCATCTTGACCAGTTCCTCATGCCGTCCCTCCTCCACCACCCTGCCCTGATCAAATACCAAGATCCGATCCGCCCTCTGCACACTCGTCAAACGATGCGCAATCATAATCGTGGTCCTCTGCCTGCTCGCCTTCGAGATCGCCTCCTGGATCTGCGCCTCGGAATGCGAGTCCAGCGCCGAGCTGGCCTCATCGAGGAGCAAGATCTCGGGGTTACGAATGTATGCGCGGGCGATGGCGACACGCTGCTTCTGCCCGCCCGAGAGCTGGGAGCCGTTGGTGCCGCATTGGGTCGAGTAGCCGTCGGGGAGGGAGGAGATGAATTCGTGGATCCCCACGGCTTTGCAGGCTGCGATGACCTCTTCGATGGAAGCAACGTGGCCGGGCCGCGCGCCGATGCCCACATTAAAAGCAACAGTCCCGGCAAAGAGATCGGGATCTTGCGCTACGAGACTGATTCGTGCTCTGTGCTCCGAAACGGGGACGGATTTGATATCGACGCCGTCCAAGAGGATGGAGCCAGAGGTAGGATCGTAGAAGCGCTCGATCAGGGAGATGGCAGAGGATTTGCCGGCCCCGGAACGGCCTACCAAGGCCACCGTCTCGCCAGCCCGGATGGCGAGATTGAGATTGGCGATTGCTGGGGCGGAGGGCCGGGTCGCGTAGGTGAGGGAGACATTGCGGAAGGTTATGGCACCTGTTGGACTGGCTTTTTCTCGCGATGAAGAGAGTGAGGTGGAGGATGTGGTGGATGGAGAGATAGGAGGTAGAGTCGTCGTGGCGGAAGGGGAGGAGGACTGGGTATCGATGGTGGGTTTTTGATCGTGCAATGCAAAGACGCGAGACGCAGCGCCCTTTGCGCGTGCAATGTCAGGAGCCAGAGAGAAGATCTGTCCGGCTGCTTGCGCCGCGGCGAGAATTGCAGGCATGACGATGAAGAATTGGAGGCTGGTGTACTCGCCCGAGCGAACATGTTTTGCTCCCCACCTGAGTCGGCAAGTTAGTACCAATCTCTCCCAAGTTTTCCGGACCGGGGTATCATGTGCGAGGACTGAGTCCTCCGAGACACCATTCCGATTTGTAAGACACTGAGAGTACAAGGAGGAAATATACTGACCAGTAGGCTAGAGCGTAGACAAATAATCTGGGCCGTTTTAGCAAATCTCCTCCTCAAGTTGGATGAAAGGATACATACGTGATTGCAAGAGCAAAGGCCAGGATCAAATTTCCAAAAGCAGTTCCCTTGAACGTTTCCTTCTGAAATTTGCCAATCGCAGCATAGAACCTCTCAGACGTGAGCTTTTCTGTCCCGAGAGCTGCAACTGTGCGAATATTGGAGCAGGCTTCTGATGCTAGTGATGCGGCTTCGGTGTAAGCATGCTGGTTCTTCTCCTCAACTTTAGCGAGGACGCGGAGGCGCAGGAACCCTGCGAGGACCACGACGGGAGAGCACGCAAAGAGAACAATGGCGATTTTCCAAGCAACGACATGGGCAAGGACAGCTCCTCCGACCACAGAGACGAGGGCAGAAACCGTAGTACCGATGATGACACCCGAGAGCCCACTCAGGTGGCCAGCATCCATGCTGATGACTGACGTGAGCGCGGAGGCTGATCTTCCAGGTTGTAGAAACCAATCCATATCTTGTCGAAGGATTGTCCCAAGAGAAATGTCCCGGGTCCGGAAGATGAGGTGCTCCGAGACGATCCCGAAGCAGGAGCCGGAGGTGGCGTGACCAAGCAGGGCAGCGATTGCAACGACGAAGAACATGAGACAGAAGAAGTCTACTCGGCTGGAAGACACGTTTCCGTTGAGGAGTTGGATGAGATTTCCGAAAATGATTGACTCGCCGAGGACCAGAGCGCCTGTGGTGACAGATCCAACGAGGGCGAGTATGGTGAAAAAGACTCGCGACCTACTGAGGGCTAGACACCTCTCTACGATAGTAAACGTACCGAATGGTTCTTTGACGCCTTCCAACGACGAGTTTTCGGGCTCATCCGAATACGTGACGACTTCTTCCTTGCCGCCGTGGCTCTCTTCGGAGATAGCTTCAGATTTGCTTGATACCGAGGAATCATTGGAGGAATCGGACGTAAGTCTCTGCGCTTCAACGAGTTGGCGATACGCGCCGCCTTCTCTCTGCATGAGCTCTTCATGCTTCCCCTGCTCGAGAATACGACCTTTCCCCATGACGATGATCTTATCTGCTGACCTGACCGAGGCCAGACGATGGGCGATCATGATTGTTGTCCTGTTTCCCATCGATCTGGTTGTATCCAGTGCTTCGAGAATTGATGCCTCGCTGATCGTATCCAGAGCGCTGGTTGCCTCATCCAAGATCAAGAGAGGTGGGTCCCCCACCAAGGCTCTCGCTAAGCAAAGACGTTGCTTCTGTCCACCTGAAACTTTCGTTCCGGTTGGTTCTCCCAACCAGGTGTCGAGACCCTCTGGTAGGGCCTGGATGAAAGACCACGCATCAGCAGCTTTGGCAGCCTCCACGCATCTCCCTCGCATCTCGTCATCAGACAACTCTGGCCCCCTGTAGCCATCTCGGATGTTAGAGTAGACCGTGCCCGAGAATATCGCGGGATCCTGATCGACGAGAGCGATTTGTCTTCGAAGGCTGGCGAGATTGTAGTCCGGTATGGCACGGCCATCGACGGTAATTGAGCCCTGAGTGGGGTCGTAGAGTCTGAGCAACAAAGCCGCAATCGTCGATTTGCCGCTCCCCGAGGCCCCGACAATGCCGACAGTTGATCCAGTCTCAATGCTGAAACTAGCGGATGCCAGGACCGTCTCCATCGATCGAGCCGGGTAAGCGAAACTGACATCGGAGAATACAATCTTCTTATCTGGTCCGAAAGTCTCGCCGTCGGCCTGATGGCCTTCCTTGGAGTAGACATCAATTGGCAAATCGGGGTGATCGATGAGATTCAGAATTCTGCTCCCAGCTGAAGCGGCATGAGAAAAGGATTGGATGTAAGGTCCAGCGGCACCCATTACCAAAGAGGCATCGACGATGAGGAAGACGATAGCGAAGACTGTACCTGCGCTTCCCTGGCCCATGCTATCTCGGACAAGGCGGGCCCCTTGCCAGAAAGCGAGAGCGTTGGCTGCGTATCTATTTGGGGGTTAGTAAAGTTTTCAGGGGGACCGGACTGACCGCCTTGCATGCGGAGAGGAGAGGAGAAGAGTCACCGCCGAACTCACGCAATGAAAAAGATGCTCCCCAGAAGCACCGCACCGGCAACGGCTTTCTTCACCCCGGCCCTCCGTGCCACGTCCAGGTGATTTCGATGATCCCCGGTCAGGGAATCAAAGGCGTCAAAGGCTTGCACCACCTGGACCGCCTTGATGGCACTTTCCGCGATCGATGCGGCGGAGGTGGTGCGCTCCGAAGCCTCCTGGGAATAGCGACTCAAGACGGACGTCCCGGTAACGACGACCAGTGCCAAGGAGGGTATGACGGCCGCAAACAAGATTCCCGCCAGTTTGGCATTGAGGTAGAATGCCACGATGAAAACTGCGGCGAAATAGCTGCATGATTGAATGAAGAAGCCAACCTTTTCAGCCGTTCCTGCTTGTACTGTCTGCGCATCTACCGTCAAGCGGCTGGTGATCTAGGTAGCCACGGCAAGTAAGTGGGTGCGTGCGTGTTGGTGGTTTGGTTTGTCAGGCGCGCGCTTGACTCACATCTGGACATTCCATCTCATAGTAGGTCTGGTCGAGGCCTAGAGCCCGATCGACCAGCTGGATTCGGAGCCCTCTGGAGATCCGAGCCCCCACAATTCCCCAGCAGAATGCCCAACCCCACGTGAGCAAGAAATATGCAACGGCTGGAAATGTCAGAGGGTAGATCACCACAACCGCGAGCAGAGCAGATGGATGTACTACTACTACTTACCGACTCCAAGCAGCTGAGTGACCCTGTGTTTGACTTCCTCCTCCGACGGAGGGAATGCATCAATGATTCTGGCAAGGATAACTCCATTGATCGGCAGAGGAGCGCCGGCAGCAATAGCCAGGACTATGGCAGCGAACAAGAGGAATTTCGACTCGAGGTCTTGTTGCATTGGCCTGAAGAGGGCCAAATAGGAGAAGCGGATCTGGATCTTTTGCGTCGGCCTGTCCTTGTCATTGTCCTTGCCCTTGTGCTTGTGCTTGGATCCGGAGAGGAAACGGCGAGGATTGAGCTTGAGCAGTAGCTGCTGCAGAGGCCGCTGCGGCCACCTGGTGAACCTGCTGCTATCCTCCAGCTGGTGCTCTTCGGATGCCCGAGTGGTGGTCATTGAAGCTATTCCCAGCGCAATGAAAGGATCAGCTCCTCTGTAGGATCGGACCCAAGAGATCCAAGAGATACAAGAGATCCCAAAAGATGGGTAGGATGATGGCTTCGTGGCTTTCCTGGCTTGCTAGATTCCGCCATTTTGATGTGATGGCGCCACCGAGCTCGGATCTGATAAGATCCGAGGGGAAGCGGCATAAGCAAGATGAGGTCAAGTTAAGCTAGCGGGAAAAGAATCTTCCTTGCATAGTGGATCTGATAAGAGGAGGTGGAAAGCGGTTGCGGAGACGGTTGCGGATGCGGTGGAGGAGGAGGTGAGGGAAGGGCCGAAGGCTGAGTGGGAGTGGAGGGAGGGAATCGGAGTGGCCGAGGATTGAGTGGGTGGGTGCGTGCACGTACGTAAAAGGTACTTTAATCAAGAAGTCCCTAAGTAAGGACCTACGGTAACGGCGGTTGCGCAGCACGACCCCCAAGTCCCAAGGTGGGCGACGATGTCATTCGCTGAATTCCGGCTTCTAGGTTTCCGGTTTTTGACACGGTTTTGGACAGTGTTGTTGATCGTTTCTCGTCTCCCGGATCTGATAAGATGTGATAAGATGTGATAAGATATACCCAGGTTGAGGGGAGGTGAGGTGAGGTCAAGCAAAGCCAGCCAGACTTGGGCCAGGCCAGGGGGTGGCGAGGTAGACTGGTACGTCGAGTAGCTGGTAGCTGGTAGCTGGTAGCTAGTAGCTGGTTCTGCGCGCTGGTTCTGCGCGCTGGTACTGCTCGCTGGACTGCTCGCTGGTACTTAGCTGCTAGCTTTAGCAGCTAAGTAAAGGATTTTCCCTGCATGATCTGATAAGGCGTCGTCGGTCAGCTCAGCTTCTCTGCTGCACTACCTGACTCGTGCAGTACAGAGTACGTAAGTCAAGAGTAGCTGGAGAAGAATCTTCCTTGTCTGATCTGATAAGATTTGATCGATGAGCGGCCTGATCTACCTGTCTGATCTATCTGATAAGATATGATTTGATAAGCCGGAGAAGAATCTTCCCTGTATGCTTCGTACTGTACGTTGCATGCATACCGGTACATGCGCGATCTGATTCAGAGGTGAAGGCTTGGGCTGCGAGTGGGGTCCTGGTAATGACGTTGATGATGGCCGACTGACTTTCTCCACGCCGTCTCGTATTGATTTCTTCCGGATCATGAGAGAGAGTTGTAGCAGGATAGATGGATGGATGGATGGCTGGATGGATGGACGGATTATTGGTTGTTGTTGTTGTTGTTGTTGTTGTTATTGTTGTTGTTGCTTTAATTCGTCCTGTTGGTTGTACCGAGAGAGACTTGAAGCCGAGTCGTGTCCTCGTCGAGTCGTCGAGTCGTCGAGTCGTCGAGTCGTCGAGTAAGAGAGACTAAAAGACTGAGTAGTAGAAGTAGAAGAAGTGGGGCGTGGCGAGTCAGGGACGGCATATACTACGTAATCCAGTTGAGCGCTGGCTGACTAACAGACTCATAATCCCACCCTTCCGGCTCCATGCCACTTACAGGCACGTGGAATCCACCCTTCGGTTACTCCCGGTCATGAAATGGGCACGTGAATGACTCGACTCCAAACAAAGTTCGATACTAGACTCACTGTTCTCTATACGGAAGGACTAATGATGAACAACTTCGCTCACCACACAAAGAAGTAACTCGCCGACCACTCCACGGGCGCGAGATCTCATTTCCTCGGTTCTTCATTGAAAAAAGTTCGTCAGACACACAGACATACAACACAGACACAAACACAGAACAGAACACACAGACAAAACAAACGGACTGACAGATATGACAGACATGATAGAAATGACGACGGCTGTACCGGTTGAGAATCTGATACCGATATCGACGGACGATGTAGCCACGGCGACGGCCATGACCATGACCACTAAACAACCCCAAGATCCTCAAGATCTCCAAGATCTCCAAGATCCCCAAGATCCTAAACAACCCCTCTCCATCCTCAATGACCCCCCCGTGGTCTTGGATGGCCCGCAGCTCTTACATCAGCTGATCCGATGGGAGCAACACAGCGAGTCTTGCGCCTTGGACTTCACCAGCAACGAGACCAGGAAGCGATACAGCTTTCGAGATCTCCAGTCGTGTATATCGGCCTTGCAAGCCCAAATACAGGCATCTCTGGACCTCATACTCAACCTCAACCTCAACCCTTCGCAAAGAAACGGCCAGCACGTTATCCCAGTCCTCCTCCCCCAGTCTCCAGGCCTCTACATCTCGCAGCTGGCCACCCTCCAATCCGGCGGCGCATTCTGCCCCATCAACCTGGATGCGCCCAAGGACAGAATCAAATTCGTCGTCGGGGACGTCTCCGCGAGCATCATTATCACAACCCCAGAGTTCAAAGATGTCGTCTCGTGGGAAGACGGACCCACCATCATCCTCGTGGATGAATTTCCCGATGTTGCGCAGCAGCAAGTGGTTGATCAAGGGTTACCACGTGATGCTGCTCCCGACGACATCGCATATGTGATGTACACCTCGGGATCGAGTGGGACTCCTAAGGGGGTGGCTGTAAGTCACATGGCTGTCACCCAGTCATTGCTGGCCCACGAGAGACACATCCCCAAGTTCGATCGATTCTTACAGTTTGCCGCCCCCTCCTTCGATGTCTCCGTCTTCGAGATCTTCTTTCCACTCGTACGAGGCGCGACCCTGGTTGGAGTGAACAGAATCCAGCTGCTCAATGATCTCCCAGGGACAATCACCGACTTGGAAATCGATGCCGCAGAGCTCACGCCGACAGTTGTCGGCTCACTGCTGCAGAAGCGATCAAACGCACCGGGGCTGAAACTTCTCCTGACCATCGGAGAGATGTTGACGTGGCCCATCGTGAAGGAGTTTGGTGGGTCGGAAACACAAGCGAACATGCTGTATGGCATGTATGGACCTACGGAAGCTGCAATTCATTGCACCATCTACCCGAAGATGGCTGCGGACACGAAGCCCGGCAACATTGGAATTCCATTTGACACCGTTTCGACATTTGTTGCTGCTCCGAGTACGTCTGTGGAAGACGCAGCGAACTTGAAGTTCTTGCCAGTAGGAGATCTGGGCGAGCTTATCCTCGGGGGCCCACAGCTGGCACAGGGATACCTGAATCGGGAAGAGCAGAACAAGGCGGCCTTTGTGCATTTCGATGGCAAAAAGTACTACCGCACAGGCGACAAAGCACGGCAACTTGAAGATGGGACTATAGAAATCCTAGGGCGCATCAGTGCCGGGCAAGTCAAGCTCAGAGGCCAAAGAATTGAGCTTGGTGAGATTGAAGAAGTCATCTACAAACATCCGGGCCTGAAGACCGTCGTTGCGGTTGTGCTGCAGGGCAGACTCGTCGTATTTGCACTCGTTGCAGATGCAAAAATCACTACCGGGGATGTATTGGAGACGTGCGCGAAATGGCTCCCAACATTCATGGTTCCAAGCGAGATCGTCTTGCTCCAGAACTTTCCATATCTACCATCTGGCAAAGTGGACAAGAGAAGACTCGAAGCGGACTATCAAGCCGAGCGTAAAAATTCGGGGAGTGAGTTCACAGCTTCGGAGACCGAAACCCAGCTTTCCGTGAGGACGGTATTACAAGAAACCCTCGGAAATTTCTCCAGGACCACGCGTCTTGCAGCTGCAGGCCTGGACTCCCTCATGGCGATCAGAGTGGCTTCGAAGCTGCGACTCTTGGGCTTCAATGTCAATACCGTCAAAGTGTTGCAGGCAGAGGTCTTCGAGTCTCTCGTTGACCTTTGCGATAGGTCCAAGTCCACGTCGTCAATCCAAGTCCAACGCAGCGAGAAGGCGGAGGTCCAAGTCAATGTTCAGAAATCCCTGAACGGCCATGCAAAGGACGTCGAATCCACATCTCAATGTACCCCAACTCAGTCTGCGATGCTATTATCGACTGCCATCAGTGAGAAGGCATATCGCAACTGGGTGGACTTGGATCTACCTGGTATCACTGATGTTGAAGATGTCTTCTCGGCTTTGCATGAATTAGCAGCACGCAACCCGATTCTGCGGACTGGGTTCGCGGAGCCCGGAGATCAATCAGGGTACCTTCAGATCATCTGGAAAGATCTGGAGGAGTCCCAAATCGAGCTTGTGGAGGCGTTAAACTACGAGTACAACGAATTCAAAGATGCCTCTTTGCATCGACCGATTCGATTCCAAATCCAGAAGGTTGAATCTCACGTAAAATTACTTATGCACATTCATCATGCTCTATACGATGCATGGTCACTGGAGCTGTTACTCGACGATCTCAATACCATTCTTTCGAAGAAGGCTCCTCCCGTACGCCCACCTTTCACCGATGTCGTAGATAGCTATCATGATAGCACTTCGAAGGCCGATGACTGGACCGCAAAAGATTACTGGAAAGATCATCTTGCCCTGCTGGATAATGTACCGGTTCCGAACTTCAATACCGGGGAGGTCCCGCCGCCTTCTCTTGCTGTCGAGCGACTTCAGACATCAATGTCGACATCAGAAGTTGTGCTAGCTGCACGCCGTATGTCAGCAAGGCCGCAGTCTCTGTTTCAGGCAGCATACGCTCTGGTGTTGAGCTCCTACCTGGGATGCACAGACATCTGCTTCGGAACGGTATTTTCAGGCCGCACGCTACCAATCACCGGGATCGAAGATATCATAGGGCCATGTCTCATAGCGCTGCCAGTCCGAGTGGACATTTCCACGTCCACGAACCTGCGAGGCTTGGTGCAGGAGCTCGATGCGACGACCGGGAAGCATATGGAGCACAGTACACTTCCTGCGCGGGATATCAAGGCGGCTGGCGGGATCAGTCCACGTCAGATGCTGTTTGATACACTCGTTATCTGGCAACAAACTTTGCACAGCCATGACCACAAGAGAGACCATGTTGTCCTTGTTGAGGAGGCCGATAATGCAGAATTTAAACTCACGTTGGATATTATTCCCAGCTTAGGGAATGTTGAACTGAAAGCCATTTATCAACGGGCTTCGTTTCCAGAGTCCCAAGTCAGATCGCTTCTGTTGCAGATTGAGCAGCTCGTGCGAGCTGTGATTGAGGAAGAGAATACCACTCTGGATACTGCTTTCCAACATCTTGAGAAGCATGTTTTGTCAATCGAGAACGAGAAACCGCACATGGAACTCAGAATAGGGAGCTTGTCGAGTCCGGTCGAGGACCTCGCAATCAGTGATCCTGACAGGCTTGCGATCGAATTTGCAACGGCAATTGACAAAGAGATCAAAGTGAATCGCATATCGTACTCGGGGCTCAATTCTTATTCTAACCAGATCGGCCACTATCTCTTGGAACAAAACAATGTCCTTCCAGATGAGCTTATTTGTACTTGTATGGAGAAGTCTATTGATTTATACGCCTCAATTCTAGCAGCTGCGAAGATTGGTGCTGGTTACCTGCCGCTTACCCCGGATATCCCTTCCGGACGACTGCAGAATATTCTGCAGGAAGCCAACGTCAAGGTGGTGATTGCCCAGTCATCATCCAAGTCTCTCTTTGAATCAATCAAGTCCGTTGAGATTCTGTATATTGACCAAGTCAAGCTTTCATCTCTTTCCACGAGTAATATTCCTCTGAATTCCACTCCAGACATGGTCTCATACTGCGTTTTCACATCGGGTAGCACAACAGGGACGCCAAAAGGGGTGCTGGTCACCCAAGGAAACCTTCTCAGCAACCTAGACGTACTCCAAGACATGTACCCGGCTTCTAAAAACGCCCGATTCCTGCAATCATGTCCCCAAACCTTCGGCGTTTCGGTATTCGAGATATTTTTCGCATGGAGAGTCGGCGGGACCATCTGCTCAGCAATCAAGGACGTCCTCTTCCAAGATATAGAAAACGCTATTCGTCTTTTTAATGTCACACATTTGAGCTTGACTCCAACCGTTGCTGCTATGATTGATCCGAATAATGTGCCTCAGATAGAGTTCTTGGTTACTGCCGGGGAGGCAGTAACCCCAAAGGTCTTCAACACATGGGCGGACAGAGGACTGTGGCAAGGCTATGGTCCTAGCGAAACCACAAATATCTGCACCATCAACCCCAGGGTCTCGAAGCATGATGCGATCAACAATATCGGCCCCCCGCTCAAAAACACTTCTGCATTCGTGCTAGCCCCTGGTCCCGAATTCATCCTTGTACCCCGGGGCGGCGTAGGTGAATTATGTTTCGGTGGCTCGCAAGTCTTTCGCGGATATATGGATCGCGATCAAGGCGTCGGTAATCTGATTGAGCACCCGCAATTTGGACGCCTGTACCGAAGCGGTGATTTCGGGCGCTTGATGCCGGATGGCTCGCTTGTTTTCACGGGGAGAAAAGACGATCAATTCAAGATCCAAGGGCGGAAGATTGAGCTCGGCGAGATCAACAACACCATGCTTCGCTCTGACAAAGTTGTGGACTGCGTGACCATGGTTATCGATGGCGAAGGAGACAGTCCGCAAAGGCTTATCTGCTTCTGGACTTCCGGAAAGGAACAGTCGATAAGTCTTGAGCCTCGACCAATGCCCCCCCGAGATGTCTTGACGGAGCTCTATAGGAATCTTGATGCAGCGCTTCCCCCTTACATGGTACCCTCTGCGCTCATTCCTCTGTCATTCATGCCATCAACAGCTCAAGGGAAGATCGATAAGCGGAGACTGGTGAAGCATTTCCGAGGCCTTGAAGTCAGCTTCCTCCATGGATGCTCACAAACGATCAAGTCGACGTCTGACCACACATGGACGGGGCTTGAGAGCGCCATTGCTAGATCTGTCGCTGAGACTGCGAAGGTGTCTGTCGAGGACATTGGTCCTGACACTTCGTTTTTCGAGCTGGGCATCGACTCAATAAATGCGATTCAGCTGGCGAGGAGTCTTACGAAGGTGACGGGGAAGCAGGTCGCTTTTACAGAGATATCGAAATTCCCATCGGTAGTAAGGTTAGCCGACAGACTTTCCTTCAAAGCGGAACAGGGCGATATTGAGGTCAATGGGGCTTCTCTATCCGGAGACATCGACTTTGGCTTCGAGCATGACTTCATTGACTCAACTGTGAATCAATTTGAGAAGACTGGAAGAACTGTGCAAAGAATTCTGCCCTGTACCCCACTCCAGGAGGCTATGCTATCAGCGACGGAAGCATCCACAAAGAAGCTGTTCGACAACTCTGTAATTTTCAACATCAGTGGTGATGTTACAAAGTTGGAGAGCTGCTGGCGGGAAATGGTACGCCGACATGAGATTTTGCGAACTTGTTTTGTGAGTACGGACGTGCCACGCCACCCATTCGTACAAGTTGTGCTCCAGGATTATGATCTCAAATTTGGGCGCATATCTTCAGTGGTAGAGAGGACGGCGCGAGGAGATCAGGAGCCGCCGTACACTCTTGATCTGGTGGAATCGTCGGGACAGACCAAGCTTGTTGTTTGGATGCATCATGCGCTATACGACGGAGTAGCCTTGGCGTTACTACATGAGGAGGTAGAGATGCTGTATCGCAGCGAATCACTTCCGGGTCCGGTGTCGTTTGCCCCTTTTCTGAAGTCTATGGCGTCTCTCGATATGGACAAAGCAGAAAAGTTTTGGCAATCAAAGCTTCAAAACTGTCATTTTCCCAAGTTCTCAACCAGCAACAACCACCACGTACACAGGAGTCAAGAGAACTCCGTACAAGCGCAGTGGATCACCGCCAAAATGCCACTCAGCTTGATCAGATCCAACCTGAAAAAATGCAGCACTTCCCTTCTAGCGGTCTGCCACACAGCCTGGGCTTCCCTCCTATCCGAACGTCTCCAAGAGACCGATATTTGCTTTGGCAGTCTTGTTAGTGGCCGCACCCTCCCAGTCCCAAACATCGACCGCCTCGTTGCCCCCTGTTTCAACACCATTCCCACCCGTCTCCAAAACATTCATAACCTGTCCTACCTTGAAGCATTCCGCAAGCTTCAGTCCCTTAGCGCAGACTCTCTTCCCTTCCAACTCACGCCGCTACGACGCCTCCAATCAAAGCTCAGCCATGACGGCTCTCGGCTATTTGATACCCTTTTTATTTTGCAGCAGCCGCCGCGACAGTTTGATTCAGGGATCTGGACGATGGAGGATTATGATTGGGCCATGGACTTCCCAATCGCGATTGAAGTCGTGCCTAGGCAGAGCGATGACAAGCTTGAGATCATGCTGCACTCGTACACGGATGTTCTTTCGGAGGAGGGTACGCTTGGCTTGCTTGAAGCTTTTGATCTGAAGCTTCATGAGGCGCTTCAAAATCCTCGACGCCACATTTTGGCTCCCACTGTCAGGGATGAGATTCTAGCGAAGCTGGAAATTCGCGAGAACTCGAAAGCTGAAGAGTCAAATGGACCGAGGGAGTCAGAAAATATGTCTGCTGGCGAGCTCAGGTTGAGAGATGTTGTGAAGGACTTCACGGACATCCCCACCGAGAAAATTGAGAGGGATATTAGTATTTTCAGACTTGGTCTGGATAGTATCAGTACGGTGCAGATTGCTACGAGGCTTAGGAAGCAGGGACATAGTGTCTTGGCAAGCGATATCCTGGAGAACAATACCATTGCGAAACTCGGTGCATTCTTGTCGTCGCAGCGAAAGAGTGAAAAGGATCTAGACTCGAAGTATGACTTTGTCAGTTTCGATAAAGACCATCGAACATTTGTTTCCTCGAAGCTTGGAATGCCAGAAAAAAATATTGAGGCTGTCATGCCTTGTACGTCGGTGCAACAAGGTATGCTTGCTCAGACCCTGCATTCGGATGGCTTGGAATATGTCAACAGTGTGTGGCTCGAGATACCTGGTGAGGTTTACATTCCTGCTCTCAAGGCTGCCTGGGGAGCTGTGTGTGAGAACAATGAGGTGCTCAGGACGAGCTTTACGTCGACGGAGAACCCCAAGCATCCATTTGTGATGGTAGTTTGTACCAAGGATGCTTCGCAATTACCATGGTACGAAAGTTCTAGAGAGCTTCCAAGCAGAGCGGAGAATCTGCTCAAGAACCCCTGGAATCTTCATCTCTACGAAGAGAACGGTACCAAGACCTTGAAGTTCACTGCACATCATGCTCTGTACGACGCACAGTCTTTTCAGATGCTCTTTTCCGATGTTGCCAAAACATATGCATCACAACGTCCGACTTCTCGTCCACCAATCGCATCGCTACTCAGTGCGATTCTGCAAGATTCCACGCAGAATATTGATGAGAAGAGGGCTTTCTGGGAAAAGGAGGCAAACAAGATCATCGTCAACCGCTTTCCAAATCTTACGCCCCTTCATGTTTCTAATACAGCGAGTGAATTTCGAGAAATAATATCTCAGTCTTCATCTTCTCAACTCCATGAGCTGTGCAGGGCTAGTGGTGTTACTATCCAAGCGGCTACCCAAGCGACATGGGCACGACTGCTCTATTTCTACATTGGCGAGACTTCTACAACGTTTGGGATGACCCTCTCTGGACGATCAATCCATGAGGATGCAGATCAAATTGCCTTCCCAAGTATCGTTACTCTTCCAGTGCGCTGCGAAATCGCGGGTACCAATGGAGATCTCTTGACAAGAACGATCGACTCGAATGCGCTGCTACACAAGCATCAGTTCACGCCTTTGACCTCCATACAGAAGTGGGCTGGATACCCGGAAGGCAAGATCTTCGATACGCTGTTCGCCTTTCAGAAATTCCCAGACAACGAAGTTAAGACAGAAACACCGTGGAAGATAGCACGGGAGCAAGCGTCTGTCGATTATTCTGTCTCTTTCGAGGTTGAACCCACAGCTGGGGACAAAATTGCGCTCCGCATGACGTTCAGATGCGATCTCATACCCGTTGAGCAGGCAGAGCTACTGCTGAAGCAGTATAATGCTTTGCTCCTCGACATACTGCAGAATCCGCAGAGTCCTTGTGATGTGGCTCCCATTGCACTCAATGAGCTGCTGTCGATCACAGCCGCGGAAGAAGATATTCTATCTGCTCCCGTAACTCTGCTTCATGAATTTGTTGAGCTTGGAGCTCGCGAGTTCCCGGACAGGAAAGCGCTGGAGTTTGCTACGAGTCTCGACCCTGAGAACTTCAAGAGCACGTCATGGACGTACCGCCAGCTTGACGAGGAGGCGAACAAGGTGGCGAGTCTGCTCCTCAAACGAAAGGTGGAGCCTGGTCAGATGATTGCGATTTGCTTTGACAAGTGTGCTGAGGCTTCTTTTACTATCATTGGAATATTGAAAGCTGGATGCTCGTATGTTGCGCTAGATCCAAATGCGCCTGCGGACCGCTCGAAGTTCATTGTGAAGGATTCGGGGGCCGAGCTGGTGGTAACTGCCGGGCAACCCGGACAGAATCTCAAAGCGGTACTAGACTGTGAAACGATCAATTTGGACTCTGCAGACATTCTCACTAGCTGCTCTTCCCAGCAGCCAAGAATCTCTCGGAATATCATGCCCGAGGATGTTTCGTACTGTCTTTATACATCTGGTACTACCGGAACACCAAAGGGTTGCTTGATAACGCATGAAAATGCGGTACAATTCATGCTTGCGTTTTCCCGCCTCTTCGAAGGACACTGGAAGACCACCTCAAAGTTTCTACAGTTCGCATCCTTCCACTTTGACGTCAGCGTGATGGAGCAGTTTTGGAGTTGGAGTGTTGGCATGTGCGTTGTATCTGCCCCTCGCGATCTCATCTTCGAAGATATCACCAGCGCTATTCAACAACTGGGAGTCACTCACATAGACTTGACGCCCAGTCTTGCCCGCTTAATCCATCCCGATAAAGTGCCGACGCTGTGTGAAGGCGCGTTCATCACAGGAGGCGAGCAGCTGAAGCAGGAGATTCTCGATGTCTGGGGTGAGAAAGCCGTGATTTACAATGGGTACGGACCGACAGAGGTGACGATTGGGTGCACGATGTACCCGAGGGTCCCCAAGAACGGAAGGCCGAGTAACATCGGGCCGGCGTATATAAATGTTGGATCTTTCGTTCTCAAGCCTGGGACGGAAATCCCTGTCCTGAGGGGTGGCATTGGTGAACTTTGCGTTTCTGGGAAATTGGTGGGTAAGGGGTACCTCAACCGCCCAGACTTGACAGTCGAGCGATTCCCAACACTCAAAGCGTTCAATAAACGTGTCTACCGGACCGGAGATCTCGTCCGTATCCTTCATGATGGCAGTTTCATCTTCCTCGGCCGCGCCGATGACCAAGTCAAGCTACGTGGTCAGCGCCTTGAACTAAGCGAGATCAACGAAGTGATCAAGAACGGCGTTGCCAGTATCCAGGAAGTCGTCACTTTGGTGCTTAAGCACAGTAGTCAGCAGAAAGAACAACTGGTTACTTTCATTGTCGCTGACTCCAGTTCAGACAATGAAGGGAGTCTGATCATGGGCGCAAGGGATGCGTGTAAGGCGAGGTTGCCGGGGTATATGGTGCCGACGCACTTCATCCCTCTTCAGAAGCTGCCTCTTAATGTGAATAACAAGGCCGATTCAAAACAGCTCGCAGCTATGTATAACGAGATGTCTGTTGAGGATATGCGGAAGTTGAGTCATGCAGGCCAGGACGGTAATTCGTGGACGGACAGGGAGAAAAGAGCTCTCGATATTGTTGCCAAGACACTGCAGATTGAGGCTGGGACTTTGACTGGCGGAACGACAATCTTTGAGCTGGGTATCGACTCGATCTCTATCATTGGCTTCTCCAAAGCGCTGCAGGACGCGGGCTTGGTTGGTGCGAGAGTCTCGGCTGTCAAAAACAACCCATCTATGAGAGCGCTTGTCCGCGTTCTGCTCGACGGCGATAGCAGCGACCAAGGTAGAGAAAATGCATATGTGGCAGCTGCGCAGAAAATGGCTGCTTTTGCGCAGAGACACCGAGTCTTCATCTGCCAGGATCTCGGCGTTGAGAGTGCTGATGTGGAGAGCATATCTCCTTGCACAGCCGTACAAGAAGGCATGATCTATCGGTTCTTAGAAGCTGACGACGCGCTTTACTTCAACAAGTTTGAGTTTGAGCTTGCGGAGAGTGTCGATGTGAAGGATTTGAAGAAGGCGTGGAACAAGGTGACAGAGCAGTTGGAGGTATTACGAATGAAATTTGTGGCTACCGATGATGGATTCGCTCAAGTCGTGTTGCGAAATGTCAACGAGCGGGCAGTTCCTGCCCCCCTAGACTATGAGAGGATGGATAAATCAGAGGCGCTAAAGGTTCCATACAGCATTTCTTTCTCGGGCAACACTATGAAGATCCAGATCTTCCATGGGCTGTACGATGGGAATAGCTTGACGATGCTACTCCGCCGCGTCATTGACGAGTATCATGGCTTGGAGGAGATCGATTACGGCCCCTCTTTTATATCTTCGCTGCCGTATGGCCCTCTGGCTGAGATTCCTCAGTCGAAAGAGTTCTGGACATCGCATCTCCAAGACTGGGTCTCCTCTCCAATTCCCTCTCGCCCCAAACTTGAATCATCTGCCGATATCTTAGCTACCAGCACCATATCTTCCCTCGCCGGCTTCGACCAGCTACGCAAACACCTAGGCGTCACCCCCCAAGCCCTGATCCAAGCATCTTGGCTTTCCGTCCTCCAACATCTCGCCAACTCCGCAAACCTCACCATCGGCATCGTGACCTCGGGCCGGGCAATCGATTTCGAGGATGCAGATGCAGTCATTGGCCCGCTGTTCAATACTGGCCCCTTCCATGTCAAGATTGAGCGGGGCATGATTTCAGGGATGTTGGTGAAGGAGTGTCATGAGTTTAATATACGGATGCAAGATTTTCAGCATACGCCTCTGAAAGATGTGCAGAGATGGAGTCCGGCGAAACAGGGAGAGGCATTGTTTGATACTTTGTTTGTAGTTCAGAGGCCGGGGGTGGGTGATGACGAATTTGCGGAGGGTATATGGAGGGAGATCGGGGGTGGTGTTGTCGCTGATGTGAGTGAAATTTGATCTGCGGTAGTTGGAGTTGGTGGTTGCTAATGATATCCAGTACCCGTTGGCTTTTGAGGCTACTCTCAGTCCCGATAATAGCAAGCTTGAACTGACAATTGTTGCTCAAGGCGAGATTATGAGTCAAGAGGGGGCAGATGACCTCTTGAGACAGGTAAAGAAGGCACTTCTTGAGATGCTGGAGAGTTCCGGGGAGAATGTCATTCCTGGTGGTGGTTCTGAGTTGGACGGTGAGGTGAAACGGCAAACGGTAGTTTCTCCAAGCACTCACGAAACACCGAATGGACCCTTCACATGGACCGACGAAGCGGAGACAATCAGAACAGAGATCGCGATACTGGCCAGCGTATCAGAAGACTCCATCCAAGAACACTCCTCTATATTCGAGCTTGGATTGGACAGTATCGATGTCATCAAGCTCGCTTCTCGCCTGAAGAAGAGAGGCATTGAGGTCCCTGTCAGCGTCATGGTCAAGAGCCAGACCATCGCCATGATATCTTCGAACATCTTAGCCAAGAATGAATTGCACAAGACTACTACTGGCAAATCATTGTTGGATATGAGCAGGGACTTGACGACCTATCTCAAGAGCGCTGACAAGCTTCCTGAGAATGTCGAGCTTGTGCTGCCAGCGACACCTTTACAGCAGACGATGGTCAACGAGATGATCAGTTCGGGATATACGAGATACTTCAACGTAGATGGCTTGAAATTGAGTCAGGATGTCGACTTGGAGAAATTGAGACAGGCGGTTACGAAAGTGGTTGAGCAGTCGCCTATTCTGAGGACGACTTTTGTAGCGGTCGAGGATCCGAAGGCGGCTGTAAGTTTTGCGCAAATCATTCACAATTCTGGCGAGGCGCTGAGCGGGGTGTCTCCTGATATCTCTACGTTGGCAGTTGGTCAAAAGTTTGAGGATTTCATGGAAAACTTCAGAGTCGAGTCTTCGAGGCTGGCAGCCGAAGATCAGCAGCTGCTTCAAGTACGTTTTGTGGATGCGGGAATGGACAGGTACTTGGTCATCGCGATCTCGCACGCTTTATATGATGGGACGTCGCTCCAATTGATTCATGACGACATCCAGAAGGCTTATAACGGAAAACTTGCGGATCGACCTGAGTTTATGCCGTTCCTGGAGGAGGTTTTCCAATCGACGACCGAAGATGCCAGGAAATTCTGGAGGACAACACTCTCGAACTTACCTCCAGCAATATTCCCCCAGAAGTTGGACTCCCGAATCGAGAAACATACTTCTACAACAAGATTAGAAAGACGCTCCCGTGTCTCACTTCCCAATATCGAAGCCCTTTGCAAGTCTTCGCGAATCACCCTCCAAACTCTCGGCCAGACATGCTGGGCGCTGGTCCTTTCTCAACTCATGGGTCAACTCGATATCGTCTTCGGCTCCGTACTCTCATGTCGCGACACCGAAGAAGCAAGTGAAGTAATGTTCCCGCTTATGAACACCGTCGCCGTGCGCTCGGTCATCCACGGCACCTTGTCCGAGATGTTGAGATATATGCAAGATATGAGCGACACTACCCGACAATATCAGCATTTCCCACTGGGCACTGCTCAGGCATACGCATTTGCATCTCGTCAAGACTCGGGTCTCGAGAAGGATACGACACTTTTGGATACGTTGTTCATCTATCAGGGACGACGCCAGACAGAGGGGCAAGGGAAGTTGTATGAGAGTGTATACGGGGCTTCGGACGTGGAGTTCCCGGTCTGCGTAGAGATGGAGGTGGTGAATGACGAGTATCTCTCTTGGACTACGGCCTGCAAATCTATTGCGAGGGATGAGAATGAGACGGAGGGGATTATTGATGCGTTGGAGGCGGTGTTACAGCGGCTTGTCGAAGATTCTGAGGCGCAGGCTATCGTGTCTGATGCTGATGGGGTCTCTGTGTGCGGATTGCCGAAATTCAGACTGAAGGAGAAGAAGAAGAGAACGAACAAGACCCAGGTTCTGGATTTGGGTCAAAGTGAATGGACGAGTACCGAGCTTGCGATTCGCAGCGCGCTACATGCGCTCTCTGGTATCCCGGAAGACTCGATCCGCCAAGACTCGACGATCTTCCATCTCGGTCTAGATTCAATTTCAGTACTCAAACTCCCGGCTCTGTTGAAGACTGAAGGAATCAGATTGAGTGTCTCGGATATCATGAGGCAGCAAACTGTGTATGCCATGGCGAAAGCTTCTCGCAGCGTCAGCGCCAGTGCCGAGGCCGATTCCGATGTCGATGTCGATAGGTCTCTCGCTGAGGCGATTTCGGGTCTCGACCTGTCGACTGAGATTTCCGAGCTCGAGAAGGAGATTGGAGAAGTACAGCATGTCATGCCTGCTACGGCGGGAGAGCAGTACATGATTCGGCAGTGGCAGGTCTCCCAGGGTGCGGTGCTCTACCATACCTTTACGTATGCGCTTTCTGGTCCTGTTGACAAGGCCGGTCTTGCAAGCGCGTGGAAAACGTTGCTGAAGAGACATGACATTCTTCGGACTGGATTCATCGAAGTTGGGTCGAGGTTTCTGCAAGTCGTCTTCAAGGATCCTCCGAATGAGGTTCTCTATCAAGATGCGGGCAATCCAGCGACGACTCGGAAATCGAACAGCGATCTTAGGCGACCACCGTTGGATCTGGTTGTTGAGGATGCGGATGGATCGTCGGTCAGGCTTGAGTTGATTCTCCATCACGCTCTTTACGATGGCATTAGTCTCCTCATCCTTGTCGACGAGCTGCAATCTCTTTACCGTGGAGAGCAACTCAACCCGCCAGATCAGGACTTCAAGACATTCGTTGCGCAATCCCTCTCGGCCTCTTCGCCAACTACCATGAAAGAGAGATGGACATCCTATCTCGGCGACAAGCCCTCGCCACTCTTCCCTGAGACACTATCATCGACAAGCCACAACAGCCAAACAGAAGTCTACGAACCTTCAATCGCCATCAAACCACTCAAACCACTAGCCCAGGAAGTCGGTGTAAGCGTAGACGTGCTCTTCCTCGCCGCCACCTCCAAACTCTTCGCTCGCTCCCTCCAGACCACCACGATCCCATCCATCACATTCGGCATCTACCTCGCAAACCGGGCACCATTCGGCTCCGACCTGTCGACCCTCGCAGCACCTACACTCAATCTGCTACCGCTCCGCGTCCGTGCGCCACTGAATAGGAGCATAGAGGATATCGCGAGAGAGATACAGAGGGACATTCACGTGATTGGCAGTAAAGAGATGGTCGGTGCGAGCTTGGCGGAGATCTACGAGTGGACGGGAACCAGGGTCAACTTTTTTGTCAACATCATCAAATCGTCCGGCTCCGACACCACGGATGTTACTACCTCAGGGGACAGTCGGTTTGAATGGAGGCAGGTGCAGGACCACTTGAGAAAGAAGGCTGAGGTTATAGAGGGCGCGAGAAACGAGCGTGTGAAGCGAGGAGTAGATTCGCAAGGGGAAGGAGCGTATCTGGTAAGCTTTCCTTCTCCTATCCATCCATCCATCCATCCATCCATCCATCTATTTTCTATCTCTCCACCTCCCTTTCTCCATCGATCGCATCAACTTTCTCGCCTCTCGGCGTTACCATGAACGAAGTGGAGTAAAACGAAACCAAAACGAGAGAGAGAGAGAGAGAGAGAGAGTGTGTGTGTGTGTGTTTATATGTACTTCGCTAACACGAAACGAAAAAACAGCCATTCGTCGACATTGAGATCCATTACCGCTCCCACCTCGAGCTGCTCAACATGGGCGTCTCGGCGCCGGGCCACCTTCTCTCTCTTGCGGCGGCCGAGAGCCTGGTTGAGAAGTTTTGGGCTTGTCTGGATGGCTTGGGATTGGGCCCGCTGCGGATATGATGACGGAGACTTGAGAAGAGGCTTGCGGGGGAGGGGGGGAGCATTGATTGAGGGGCAGTTTAGCTTAAGTTAAGTCTAGTTTAGCTTTGAAAAGAAAAGTTTTTTTTTATTTTTTTTTTACTTTTTGGTTCTGGTTTTGATTCTATTCCATTCCACGTGACCAAAGAAAAAAAAAGAATTTAGGAAAAAAAATGTTAAAAAGAGATATAAATATGTAGATATTAAAATCATAGAATAATTAAAAAAAATAAAGGGGAAAAAAAATAATAAAAAAAATTCCAAAAATTTCCTTGAGAAGGTTTTTTTTTATTTGAAAAAATAAATAAATGAATAAAATAAAATAAATAAATAAGTAAATAAATTTAAAATCTTTTTTTAAAATAAAAAGAAACTTTTTTCCTTTCTTCCTTTTCTCATCTTTTCCACATCAGCCCAGTAGATACGTAAATGGATGTGATTGATTTTCTTGATTATCTTGATCCCACTTACTTCTTCAACTCCTCCAACCTCGCCTCCAGCACCTCCCACGCATCACTCCCCTCCCACGCATCCCTCGCCTTGCTCATCACCCCCCTCACAGCACTCCGCGCTTTCGCCTTCCACGCTGCCTCCACCGGCACCAGCACCATCGCGCCGCCGTCGCCATCGCCACCGCCACCGCCACTTACCCGCTCCATCGGCCCGTAGTTCTCGTACGCGCTCACCAGGTGATCCGTAACGCTCACTACTTCCCGCCATGCTTCCTCTGCGACTAGCCACTCACCGCCTGCACTACCATCACCAATACTACCACTACCACCAATACTACTACTGCTGCTGCGACTGCTACTACCATTAACCACCAGCCGCCACGCCTTCTCCGCGCAGCGCAGCGCCTGCTCGTAGTCCCGCTGGTAGAGCGCCAGCCGCTCGACCAGCACCCAGATATCGGCGCGGGCCGTAACGAGAGGGACGACGACCTCTTCGACGAAGGCGATGAGGGCGCGCGCGAGGGAGCCGCGTGGGGGGATGTATTTACCGCCGCCGTTTGTGTTGTCCTTGTCCTCGTCCTCGCGCTCCGTGGCCGTGACTTCAGCGACGAGGAGGCGCAGGACGGGGACGTCGATGGCGCGCTCGCCGATGGCGGGGGCGCGGAGCTGGATGAGGTTGCGCAGACCGAGGAGGAGGTCGCCGAAGGCCGGACGGGGGGAGATGCGGCCGGCGATGGTGATGACGTTGTCCCAGATCTGCCAGTTGGTGTGGGCGAGGGCCGCGGCGCGCTTGTAGGCTGAGAGGGCTTGGGTTAGGATCGCTTTGGGGTCTTCTTGCTGCTTCCTCTTCTTCTTCTTTTTCTTCTTCTTTTCGGACTGGGCGGGGGAGGAGGAGGAGGAGGAGGAGATGGCTCCATCATCCTCGTCGTCTGTCGCGGCGGCTTTCGCCATCGTGACGAGCTCTTGGTGCTTGGATACGAGGGCAGAGCCCAGGTTGGAGTAGGTCTTCGCGTCCGTGTCGTCAATCATGATACTCTGCTGGAACGCCACTATCGCGCCATCCCAGTTCCCGCTCCGGAGATCCAGGTCTCCAAGGCGAGCCCAGGAGTCGTTGTTCTGTCGGTTGACGACGGTCGCGTGCATGTACGCCTCGCGGGCCTTGGCCAGATCCCCAGATTTGACGTAGTACTCTCCCAGCGAGCGTTGCGCGCGAGCGTATCTCCGCTTCGAGATCTCCCAGGCGCGGGTCCAGCACGCAGGGTCGTTTTCGAGATCGCCGAGGATGCACCACAGCCGAGGGGCGTGGGCAGGCGTGGGGCGCATCTCACCTTCCCAGTTCTCCGTGACGAGTTCGGCAGCATCGACGTGATATCGATCCATCTCGGGGCCTTTGGACGAGAAGTAGAGCTGCCGACGAACGATCTGGCGAGCTTTGTCTTCCTGTCCCACGGTGTGGTAGCACAGTGCTGTCTCGGCCCAGAGCTGGAGACGCTTGAAGATTTCCAGGGCCGACACGAAACTGCCGACGCTGGACCAGGCGTACGCGAGTTCCGTCTCGAGTTCCCATCGTGTGGGGGTGTTGAGTTGGTAGATGTACTTCAGACGTTCGGCTATGGGAGCCGATTCCGATGCCTTGGCCCGGGGCAGGAACTGAGAAACGCGGATTTCAGGTACGCCGTCGGGAGAAGAACATGGCTCTTCTTGCGTATCTGCAATTATCTGATCCACGATGACTTGCAATTGCAAGATACTGCGCTCTTGAGTGCGGGAGCGATGCGACTCGATTCTGCTCCGCACGAGCAGGGCTTGCGTGTAGATTTGCCAGTTGGTAGGCTTGTCGGCTAGAACACGGAGAGCGTAGGGGAGGATCTCCTCGCTGTTGAGCTTATCGAGTGGAAGGAAGGCGTCTTTGATGGTAGCTTCTGTGAGAAGAGTGATTTGATCTAGTGGTTTGAGTTGAGGCTGAGCGTTTGGTGAGAGGCCAGCAAGCCGAGGAGGAAAGTTCGAGGCGTCGACTTTGTCCGTAGTAAATTCGATAGTCTCCAAAAGTGTATCATCATTGAGTTGCAGCGACTCGGGTTTCGCCGTATCCCCATTCGAGATCGAGCTCCCCATCAGCCCCTCCACCAATCCATTAGTTGACGCATCCTCAGCATCACTACTCTTCGCAAAGACAACCAACTGCGACAGGTCGTTCTGCTGAAACTTTGTTCTCTTCCCCAACGCCCCCGAAAGCGCATAATCAAATCCGGACACCGTCTTTGCCATCTTCACATTCTCCCTCGCTTTGATGTCCAGACCCTGCTGGATATAAATCTGCGCCTTCTCAAGTAGAAACTGCACCTTGGCCTCCGTCGAAAAGGTCGAGCTCGCCCCCAGCACCTCCCTCTCCAGCTCCTTCAGATCGCCCTCAATCGCATCCTGCAGCACCGTGGACTCACTCAACCTCCGACCAGCGACCCCCGACAAGAGTCGCTGGTGGTACGCGTTGATCCGCACGCGCATCCACTTTGAGTCTCTGAACCCGGCGCCGACGATCCGCGGGAAGAAGACGGTGAAGACCAGCCGGGCAAGGCAGAGGAGCTCCACGTGCGGCATGTACTGATACACCGACACCCCATCGACATCCAGACTCCGCAAACACTTGTCCCTCACTTCTTCCCTCCCCCCATCACCACAACCACCACCACCACCATCACCACCATCACCACCTCTCGGGCTCGCACCAGGGAACACGTCCCCGAGCTCCAGCGGCGGTCCCGTGACGTTAGCCTGCAAAAACGCATTGAAGGCCGCCAACCCCGCGATCAAGACCCGGACAGCCCCAACGTCCCCTTCAAAGCCAGCGTTCTGGAGCGCAGCATCCTGCTGGCTTCTGGAAGAGCCCAGGGTGTCAACCAGAATGGCGTAGAGTGTTTGCGAGGTCCCGTGGCGGAGGACTGCTTGGTAGTTGCCGTCTAGGTACGCGGTACTAATCTCTGAGAGCTCGGGAATCTGTTTGAGAGGGTCGAGGTTGAAGAGGAGTGAGTCGAGACTCTGGTCTCCTATCGAAAACGGAATTTGAGACATGCTTTTTTTTTGGTGTTGTTGTATTTTCGTTCGGGTTGTCATCTGTGGGGACCATAAGTGAAATTTTCTGGCGAGGCAGTAGTGATTAGTAAGCGAATATTCAGAAGTTCTAGTTTGATGGCTGATGAATGTGTTTGTCTGTCTTCATAGGTTCCTTTTGCACTGAGTCATCCCACCCGGCAAGGTATACATATATCTATATCTTGAAAGACTCCACGCATGTTGTTTCATATCAAAGCTAAACTCTCAAGACCCAATATACGAAAACACAGTCATTGAATGATTGCTACGCTATTGAATTTACAATGTATGCAATACAGTACAGCCAATCCACTAAACGCTCGCTGATTCATGCACCCAATCAAAGATGCAAAACCTGCTGTGCTAGACAAACCAGCTATGCTAAAACGTCTCGGACGTTACACGTGTGTAATCGTACATAAGTCATACAGATCATTTGCGTCCCTTCTTCTTGTTAGGAACAACCTTGAAGCCAGCAGTAGGCTCCTCCACCTTAGCAGGACCCTTCTTCGCAACCTCGTTCCAGCCTCCGGACTTGGCGCTGGAAAAGCCGGATCCATTGTTGGCGGGCTCTACAATTCCTTCCTCGGCAAGTTTCTTACGGCGAATGAACTCGACAGCGAAATCATTTCCGTTCATCAATTTTGAGTTGGCGTAGATGCTATCGGCGATGATGCTAGCCTCAGGAGGGAAATCTCTCAGCATAACGACAAACTCATCCACTTTAAGAAGTTAAGTTAGCGGGATTCTACAAGGAGTAAGGGGAAGAAAGCTTGCCATTAATGTCTGGGTTCAGTCCATTTGCCAAAACCGACTTTGCCCACTTAACGAACTCTTCCTTGGGAGCGTTGGCACCGACTGTTCCAGTAGTGCTACGAACAGCAGCCGGTCTGACCGCGCGTTGAGCTGATGGCGTCACGGTGTTTGCAGCGCTTGCAGCACGCAGTGCCGGTGGGGTAACAGCAGCTGGCCCGGTAGGAATTCGTACCTTTCCACCAGCTCCGACTGTAGACCAAGGGGAACCACCGACGGGTGCAGGACCGGCAGAAGGTTTGCTCGCTAGATCCGCATAACGCTTTCCGCTTGAGACTGTTGGTTGGGCAGCAGCAACGGCAGCAGCAGCCTTCACCTTTCGCGACTCCTCCTCGCGTTGAATATCTGCCAAGGTCTTCTTGGATGCGGCAGAGCTACTCGAAACTTGAACCTTGGCGGCCGGCTTCGCCCACGCAGAGGGAGCATTAGGTACTGGTGAACTAGTACTGCCCCAAGTAGAAGAAGTTGGCAATCCCGGAGCAGGCGCGGCAGGTTGACTGGAAAGCAACTTCAATTCGTACTCATAGTTGGCACGGCGAGCGGCAGCGGCTATTTCCTCTGCCTTAGCAGCCTTCTTGGCTTCTGCTTCTTGGATCTGCTTCAGAGATGGACCCTTTGGTGCCTCAGTCTGTTCCTTTGCCCAAGGTGCAAGTGAAGAGGTGGAGCTCGTGACCTCAGGGGTCTCAGAGCGAGATCTAGACTCCACATTCAACGCCTCTGGCAAGTTCGCACGGCTTCGCTGAGCGGTCGGGGCGGGAAGAGGAGTGGAAGACTGTGGTGGGGGAAATGGCATAGGGAAGCTGGAGCTCGGGACCTTTGCCCATGGAGACTCTGGTTGGGTCGCGGTAGTGGGCGATTCTTGGGCAGACTTCGCATTCTGAACTTGCTCGGTAAGAGAAAGAGAGGCTGGTTGTGGCTTGGACTGTGACTTGGACTCGGGCTCTTGAGCTGGGGGTTCACGCTCAGCTTCAGGTGTTTCATGGTAGGCCGGCTCCACCTGCTGTTGTTGCTGCTGAGGTGGACCGATTGGCTCCGAGGTGCCATGAGCGACTGAATTAGCCTCCTCCATCTCATGTTGGGCTCTCAGCTGTTGAAATTCCTCAAGTCGGGCATTGAACCCAGATGGATCTTCCTGTTCCATCCTAGCGGCTTGACGTTGGGCCTCGGAGTTTGGGCCAAAGAGTGATGAGATCTGTTGTGCGTGGGTTGACTGTTGTTGGGGGGGTGCCGAGGGAAAGAGTTGCTGACGATCGCGGAGGGACAGACGTGCGAGTTCTTCCTCACGAAAAAATTCCGATGCGATTCCTCCACCAGATGGGGCTGGGAATTGTCGTGGGGGCCCTTCATAGTATCCAGCCACATTCTGCATCTGGGATTGCGGCAGTCCAATCGGAGATGTCATGCTTCCGAAGCTCGGTTGACTCTGGAGACTATGGGCACTTGAGTGGTGATGAAGCGCAGATGGAAGTCCTCCCATTTGCATTTGCTTGACGTTCACCTGCTGCTGAGCTAAGAACTCCTTCTGGCGAGCCATCAAGAACTGCTCTTCTTGCTTGCGTCGCTCGAGGTTGTTCTGTTGCTCAGCAGTGAGGGTTGTGCCGAAGCTCGGGAAGGAGTTGGCGAATGGTGGCTGAACAGCACCAGGCTGGGCTCCGTTTCCAGGACCAGCGGCAGCGGGAGTAAACGCAGCCCCTTGAGCAGGGGCTGGACCGTGTGGGATTCCAATCTGGGGTACGAGGAATGGCTCTCGCGAATTACCAATGCGTCTGATCAGTTGGCCAAGCGGCTCGAATTCTGCATCTTCAACCTTCTTTACAGAGAGGTCGGCAGTGAAGAATGAAGCCTTGTACCAGTCGTGCATCTCAAGACCAGACCAAGGGCCCTGAACTTTGCCTTGTGGATCAAGATACACCCATCTCATCCTATCCGGCATCACCATCATGCGCTGCTGAGTAGCAGGAAGTTGGTTTGATGCAGAATCTGAGGAGGATTGGGACTGCCCATACGCAGCCGTGGCGGGCGGGACTTGTGAGAAGGTGGCCGAGGTCATTCCTTGAGAGTTCTCGGCCGATGAGAAAGGTCCTTGATTACGAGTAACGTCGCTTGCCGCAAATAGGTCGTCAAACGGGTGTCTGTCGGTGCGCATCGGACTCTCAGTATCTCGAGGAAACGTGCTTCTACCAATGGCTCCGAAACCACTGCTCTGCCTCACATCCCCTCCCTCGCCCGTTTGAGTGTGATCTGGGTTGAGCATCTGGGCTTGCATAGCGGCGGGAAACAGCGAGCCAAGCTTACTGCCACTGCGTCCGACGTTGTTAGTTCCAGAGGCGCCACCAGATGGCCCGAACATGTTGCCGAGCCCCCCAAGGCTGGGGGATTGAAGTTCTCCCATAGGCCCAAATACAGAGCTACCAAAGGCATTTGAAGGAAAAGGTGTTCGATTCTCTCGGTCGGGAGTCCCAAGAGGATTTCCGCTTGTCGGCCAACCTCCTAAGCCGCCAAAGCCACTTGGAAGAACAGAGAGGGGAGGGAAAACCTTGATGGCACCAGCGCTAGAGGTCTGGCTTCGATCGCTCCCATCCAAGGCGTTGTTGAAAGCTCGAGGCAAGCCACCAAATGCGTTCGGCGCATGTTCCGGGATACCACCTAATCCTTGAGGACGGTTGTTGTGGGGAGGATCGCCTTCGTAGCTCGAGTCGTCCGCATGATAATGATCTTCCGATGGGCCAGGGGGGCTGCGATAGGGGTTCGTATCCGATGGGCTCAGAGGCTCATTCTTATCGTGACCACGGGCTGGCGTCTGGTGGACCTGACTCCGTGCAGCATTCTGAAAGCCTGGCATTTCAGACATCCCGAAGTCACTCGAGTTGCCACGTACCGGAGTGTCCACACCAGGAGCTCGCTGTTGATTGTTGAGCGGCGGGCTCGTGTCTCGGCCACCACCTAATGCCGCGCTACCACTCGGAACATCATCTCCAAACGGGTCGGTGTCAGTTCGCTGTCTTGGTCTCCAGGGTCTATCGGCAGTCTTAGACATGTCCTCGGTGCTTTCCTTGTTCATCAGATGGGCGAGACGGCTTTCACCTCTTCCAAAGGCGGGACGTTTGTCAACAGGGGCGGGTGGATTGGCCGAAGAGTTACCCAGTGAGAAATTTCCGAAATTTCCCATAGGGGACAGGGCTGCACTGGCCGAGCCTGGTCCCCAGGGAGATGCAGGCCCATTTCCCAGCGCGTTTCCAGCTGTGCTGCTCCGCATCAGACCGCCAAAAGGAAGTCCGGGCTTCGTATCGTCAGCTCGATCATCTTGCCCGTCTTTCGTATCGGTGAATTTGCGGTTAAGGAACGGGGATGGCTCGTCCCTAGCGAAGCGGCCTGCACCAGAAGGAGATTGTAGAGCATCACTCGTCAGCTGTCGTCTTATACCGGGTCTGCTTGATGCCGGAGATGCGAGCCCGAAGTTACCAGATGTTTGTCCGTGCGAAAAAGACGTCTTTCGGCCGTTTGTACCAGCTCCTTGAGCATTTTGGTCCTTGTTGGAATTCTGAGGAGGAGGCTTTAGTGGTGAATTGACATCGGTAGCAAAGAGCTTCACACATATTAGCACGATCAACGGCTAGCACGAAAGGGGCACCCACTATCTTTTCCCCCTCTGACATTTGCTCGAAGGATATTGGCGTCGAGTCCCCATTCGGGTTCCAGCACACCTCGGGGCCGTAGTGTTCTCTGCCGTCCGCACTTTTACCCCATCCAGTGCGACCGTTGGTGCCGTTGGTGCCGTTCGAATTGTCTGGATCCCAGCCGTTGATGAAGAGCGACGAAACATTCTTGACAGCCCCAGCAGCCTCTCTCTGCGCGTGAGCAATATCTAATATGTCTTGCTTCGAGTAACGAGATCCTGAAGGGGCGGAATCGTACAGGTTCGATTGCTGCGACAAGGCTGGGGCTTCCGTAGAAGGTGTTTGAAGGGGAGAATCTTGGGACGATGGATGTTGGAAAGGGGCCTGTGAGTTGCGGCGTAAGGTTAGGGTGCCGTTGGCAGGGCGTTGCTCTCTGCGGCTCCTGTAAAGGCCCGCGTATTAGCAAATCTCTGCAGTGGATGTGGACCGATTGAAATTGTGATTTTCGACGGCCAAATTGGGATGTTGGAATCTAGGGAGGCAACATACCAGTCCCCGCTTCCTCGTCCGTCGCCTCTTCCATTGCGAGAATCACGACTTGACCCAGCAGCGGCAGACGCAAAGCTTGACGGTAGATGGGAAGGCATGGCGGAAATTGGTCGCTGGCTGACTTGATTGTAGGAGGCGGCTGAAGCTGGTTCAGATGAGGTTGATGAGGTTGAGGATTCGCGAATCAACAACGCGAACGTTTGTTTGGTCTTTATTGAAGTAGCGGAGGGGCGATGAACGACAGGTACGCTGGAGGGTTCTCGCGCGTATATTTGTTTTTTTGTTTGTACTGAGAGGGTGGGAGTCACGCAAAGGTTTGATTGTTAAAGGAGCAATGAAGTTGCGGTGCTGATGGGAGCGGGTTCAAAGATTTCTCAAGCTCCTCGAGGAAGAAGTTGAGCAAGGTGCGAGGTGTGGAGCGGCTAGTCTTCTTTTGGTCTAGCGTGTTCCTTGGAGCTAAAGCTACCTTATACATATAGTTATATTTACATTTATATATATTTGTATGTATTTGTATATGTTTGTATGTATTTGTATGTACTTGTATGTATTTGTATGTATTTGTATATGTTTGTATGTATTTGCATGTATTTGTATGTATTTGCATGTATTTGCATGTATTTGCATGTATTTGTATGAATTGTATGAATTTATACATATTTATACATATTTATATAAATTTATATTTATTTAGTTATGTGATATGCAGCAATATACTTACACATTTTAATATTCTTATATCTCGTCTTCTTCTTTTGTTTTTTGTCATTGATTCATCGGATAGCATGCGATCCGTACGTACTTTATATACCTTGCTCGCTCTACTCAAGTACGGACCTACGCGTGACTAGTGCTCCAATGTCTCCAGAACTTCGGACTGTTTTTCTGCCCCTTAATTAATCGTACAACTACATTGTGAATCATACATTGCGAAGAACACGATCCGAGTATCAGGATACCAAGCTACGGCCGTAGCTGGAAGATGGTTAGATCTGAACCGAAAATCCATTTATTTTCTACCTCTTTCGTCATGTCTGCTCTGTTTACAATCTGCTGCTCTACCCTACGTACAATACTACTCTATCCTACCCTAGTTTACTCTACTCTACTCTACTCTACTCTACTCTGCTTTACTCTACTCTACCTTACTCTACTACTCTACTTTACCATACGTACCGGTACCCTACTTCATATCTGGCCTTTCGCACCTTTCACATCACGAGATCTTGTTGATCAACTGCCAAGATTCAGGGCCCCGGCCTGCTTCTGCTCTGGCTCCCTGTCTGTCTTCCGCATAAACATTTCCTCCTAATCTATTCCCCCGGATCCTTCCCAGCCCCTTCAAAACCTTCAAAACCTTCAGACCCTTCAAAACTTCAACACCTCCAAAACCCTCAAAACTCATCCAAAACCCCAACTACATGATGTATTCAGATTGATCAAACACAGCATTAAAGCCACTGCACCCACTTTTCATGCGCCTCTGGTTCCACCGCCGATAGCTGTACCGGACACAAGAGACAAGTGTGTTCTTGTGCAAGTAAGCACGCGGAAGCAAACATCGTATTCCCCAGTATATCCCATTTTCCCACCAGGTAAATCTGTTGTGCGATCACCTCGCACCGGCTGCTGGCAGGCACTCTGACGACCCGCCTGGTGTTTGCAAGCTAAAGTTATCGCACCATACTTATTCATATACCTCTGTGCCAATGCCTCCCTTTCAATTTCGCAGCCAAGTTTCCCTCGCGAGCTTTTTGATCTCGCCGAGCTGGCGTCACGGTCCTACCCAAGCCGTCGTGGAGTGACCCTCAAATTCATAAAAATAACATACACGGGTTTATCACCTATTCCGCTATCTCAAAAAACGGATCATGTCAGACCACAGGCGATCTGGGTCTCGAAGTCACTCGCGGAGAAGCAGATCTCGAGGATATAGCCAAGGTTATGATGGTGTTCACGAAGAACCCAGCCGTGGCGAGAGAGACTGGTTCGAAGGCCGACGTGGCTTAGGAGGGAGAGGTGGTGAGATGATGGGCTGGGGTCGGAACGGTGCTGTCCGTCTCGACGACCCTCCCAGACCGCGATGGGGGTGGGATGGATTCGATCAGGAAATGGACTTCCCAAGATTCATGGGTGGGAGGAGAGGTTCCAGTCGACCGGTAAGATCCAGAAGAGCAGAAGAAATGGACTCGTACGGTGGCCTCGGTGCAATGGATACGTCCGGAGGACTCGGGATGGGCAGAATGGGGATGAGCGGTATGCGGATGGGAGGGATCATGGCATTGGGAGGGGCCATGGAGATGGGGGGACCGATGCCCATGACAATGGGCGGGAGGAACCCTCCAGGAAATCCAATGATGGGCCGCAATCCGTTCGACGCGCCTCAAATCTTCGACTCCCACAGTTTCAACCGCCAACCATCTCCAAACGACACGATGCTCCCACCCCGCCAGCAAGTAATGCGGCCTAGATGCGGGATGGAGCAGCTCAGATCGCCCCTGATGGGCGGCAGGCAGAATTTCATGGAAGGGTATCCAGGACTCCGATCTCCTCCTCCGGCGTCACTGGCGTCGGGAGGCAGCTTTGATATGCGGGCCATGGACCGTCCGAGGATGCCGTACGGCCCCATCCACTACAGCCCGATCATGCAGAACCGGTTTGCGAATTACCAGTCGCCGTACGTGGAGGAGTACGAGGGAAGCGAGATGGATGCGAGTATGGCTCAGCAGGCCGCCATGCAGCAGCAGCAGATGATGATGATGAATGGTGGAGGCGGCAACCCTTTTCTTGATGAGATGCAGTATGGCAATGCTTATGTTGGTGGTGGGATGGGAGGGATGGGAGGGATCAATAGGACGAATGGGATGGGGCAAATGGGACAGGCAGGAGGCGGAATGGGGGCAGGTACGCCAGGATTTGGGCCAAGAGGTTGCAACCGTAGGTAGTAGCACCGGTAGTATATCCTCTTCCAAGCCATTTCCATTGTCGAAATACCTAGAGCACATTGACCTCATCCAATCCTCTCATGTCCATAGAACAGAGAGCTTTCCCTCAACCCGTTAGCCAACCCAGGACTTTCCCAAACTAGAAGCTGCATTTTTCTCTTTCGCAAAGACCCCTACTTTCCTAGGTCTTCATCATATTCTTCCTACTCGAGCTGCGTCGGGACTCTCTGGCTAACAACCTCGGCCTTGCGTCCAGAACTGCTCGTCTCTTTCACCTTAAGGGAACGGTAGACTTCCGCTACGGATCTCAATGCTGGTCCCTGCTTCTCTTTCTCATCCTTTGATCGCAGAGCATTGCGCACAAGGGCATCGGTATCAGCTTGCGATTCTCTCGGCTCGCAAATCAGCTAAGGGCCCCCGAGAGCACCACTCGTGGACTCGTGGACATTCGAGAGAGGTCTACTAGGAGCGGGGAGCTGGAATCTAGACTTCCGCAGAGTGAACCGCGTAACATCCGCGTGTAGCGCGGTGAGGAGGCGGTCGGGGGCCTGGATCTGCGGACCGAGGATAAGGTCGGCGCCGACAGAGTCAAGGGCGAGCATTTCGGTGACCTCGTTGATGCGAGGACCCTACTGACCCATGGACGTCGATATGTTCTCGTTGGATGTGTTCATGGCGGCGGTGGTAGCTGTGGGGAGCGCGAGGGCTTGTCGGGGTTGGTGGTTGTCGAGGCGCGGAGATGTCGTTGGCTCGGGATGGAAGTCGGTGATGCAAGATAGGGCTTACCACTAAGGCTTTATCCGCTAGCGTATCCGTGGTTCATGTGGCTCATACCTGTTGATCGGAGATCTGGTACGGTTGTTCCAGGGCTCGCGGCTGACATTACCCCAAGTTCTTCACGCGTTTGTCAGATTAACTAATCACAAGAAACAAATAACGGCAGATAGTTGATGATCAAGCACTGAATAAATGCCAGCATAGATCCCAGACACGATTTGTATAGACAACAGGACTTTCGGTCCCACTCAATCTTATTTTGCGACTGTCTTCGATAAGAACGAAAGAGTGTTTACTTGGTAAACATTAAGCGAACTCATGACTGGGGGCTTGGCGCTTCGCTCTACACCCAGTTCCCGCTCTAAAACACACGAAAAGTAACACGAGGGAGCAAATAACAAACAAGGTAAAAACGGCAGAGAATTGGTATCAGCGGGCACACCGGAACGCATCGTAGCAATCAGGCATACGGCTTTCACACGGTCGCGTTAGAGTTTTTCCCATTCAGTACTTATCCTACAAGGGTGAAGACGAACCACTACGTCACCGTCGACGAGAAGCAACCTGTTACTTGTTCACATATACAGAATAGTTGGATTTTTCCGCCGCCCGATCTTTATCTCCTGCCACTCACCCGACCGCCCTTCCCGTGTCCAGAGTTAGCTTTTCTTTCGCGCTCTAAAAACAGATCTCTCTCTCTCACAATCTCATCCTCAACCTTGATCATTGGGTAGTATATTATATAAGTTGCTTCATGATCAGCAAGATGGTGAGAAAAAGTAAGTACGTTGGTATGAGCTCAAGACCGCTCTACATAGCATGTTTTCTTCGGACCCCGCCCGGGTCTTCTTCGCCTTGAGGCTTTCAGCAGGCCTGGAGACACACCTTCCTCTCCCAAGCGCTATCAGATTTGAGGACAAAGGAAAGATAGTAATCATCAGCACCGCCTGCAATTTCTTTATCTTCTGATCCGTTTGCGAAAAAAAAAAAAANAAAAAAAAAAAGAAAAGGGGGGACGGGTCTCTTAGTA